CCCAGCACCTCACATACTTCAGCTGGGATTGAATTGTCTCCTGGGCAGTGGATATTCTTTGCCCAGGGATCCAGCCTTCTCACTGGCCATGTTTGCTCAAAACCTTCCACATCTTCTGGCAGGAGGAAGCTTAGAATTTTGCAGGCCTTGAGATACAGGCCAAGTGGACTCTCCCCCCTGGTGGCTCAAAGGGTAAAGAGTCTGCCTGCAATGCAGGAGACCCGGGTTCAATTCCTGGGAAGATCTCCTGGAAAAGGAAATGGCAACCCACTTCAGCATTCTTGCCTGGAAAATCCCATGAATGGAGAAGCCTGGCAGGCTACAGCCCATGGGGTCACAAAGAGTCGGACATGACAACTGAGTGACTAACACTTTCCCCCACCACAGTATCGGGAGGCAGGCAGGCTGACAGGCAAGCCCCAGCCGGCTCTCCGGAGGGAACCAGTATCTACATCAGGCAAAGACTGGCCAGGGCCCCATAGTATGTGAGTGACAGAGGCCGGATGGGACTGCGTGTCTCCTGACTCCTACCAAGGCTGGCTGCTCAACTCCATACTGCGTCCCTGCTTGGTGCAATGGCCAGTCTTTCTGTCGTCTGCACTGTACGTGGACGTGGTAGCCCACGGCCAGGCCCCTCAGGCTTGCTCATGGTGACCGTGGGACCTGCTTAGTCGTCTTCTGGGAATGACCCTCATCCCTCCCCTCCAGCCCCTTTGCCAGCTCCAGGCTTCAGGGTCCACTCCCAGGCCACTGCTTCCAGGAAGTCTGGCATCATTCTGAACTACTCCCCCTGCTGGCTGGATCAGGTTTGTGCCAGAGACTATTCTAAGTAACTTTTCATAAATTAATCAGCACTCTGTGACAATGGTAAGAACCGTGATTAATATCATTTTATATAAAAAGGAAATAGGCACAAAAAAGTTGAGGCACATGTCCAGAGTCGCACAGAGGTAGAGTTTGCACCTAAGCTGTCTGGCCTCAGAGCCTGCCTGCACCCTTGACTGTTAAACAAGGCTGCCTCTGGTGCACCATGGGTTTCTGACTCAAATTTTTACCCTCATTTTCTTACCTCCATACACTACACAAAGAGAGATGTTTGGCAGCAGGGTGAGCGAAGGAGGAGGCAAAGAAGGCCCTGAAGAGAAGGTGTGGCCATCTCCTTGGCTGGAGCGCTGCCCTGGGCTCGGTGAGAAGGAGCAACTTTGCACAGAAGTTCTAGGCTCAGAGTTGAGAGGTAACAGGTGGAGTTGGCAGCCGTGCTTTAGGTCACCTTGTGAGAGGGAGTCAGCTTCCCGTTTCCTTTGAAATAGATGGAAGTTGATATGCTTGTGTGTGCACACATACGTGTGCATGTGAACACATGTGGATGAGTGGGTACAAACCTGTGAGTGTGCATTTATTTGTGATCATGTGTAAGTGCTGTGAGCAAGCACTTCTGTACCTGGTGTCTTAGTCTGTCTGGGTTCCTGTAACAAAACACCGTGATCTGAGTGACTTAAACAGTAGGGGTTTGCTTCTCATGTTCTGGAGTCTGGGAAGTCCAAAATCAAGGTGCTGGCAGATTCAGTGTCTGCTGGGAGCCCACTTTCTGGCTCATAGACAGCTGCCTTCTCTCTGTGTCCTCACATGGCCCTTCCTTGGAGCCTGGGTGTGGAGAGAGCTAAGCTCTGATGTCTTCTCTTCTTCCTATAAGGGCACTAATCCCATTATGTGTGCTCCACCCCTGTGACCTCCTCTAAACCCAGTTACCTTCCAAAGGGCCCACCTTCAGATACCTTTACCTTGGGGGTTAGGACTTGAATATACGGTTCTGGGGGCACACGCATTCAGTCCACAGAGCTGGGCTTGTGTGTGCGCATGTGAGCCGAGGTGTGCAAGTCCCCGCCACTGTGGTTTCGTCCCTCCCACCACCACCCGGGACACCAGAATCCTGCTGAATGACAGGTAGTCAGTCGTACAACTGTGAACCACTGTTGTTTTTAATTGTTGGTAAGAAAACCACAGTGTAGTGACAGAATAGAATCAGAGCTGCCAGCTTGCTTGCCACCAGCTGCTGGGTCCCCCTGCACTCCCCGGAAAGCCCCCATCATTCCTTGGCCCAGAGCCTGCCTAATCATTGTTTAATGTTTCAAAGATGCTGTCCTACACAAGAGATACTCATTCCAGGCTGTAAAAATATCAACAGCTTTGTGTGCAGCTGGAATAATTGCAAAAATTAAAAAAGCAGAGAAAAAGAATGGTCCGACAGTATTGTGCTTTATGGAGCTTAAAGAATCCCATATAGCTAATCTAATTACAGACAAGACTCAGGCAACTTAAGGGTGTTTATAAAACCAGGCACATGGGCCATCAGCCAGCTCAGCAGAAGGCTGCTTGTCACCACCCACCCCTGTGCCTTTGACCAGTGTGACTTCAGGGGCACACCCACATACCCGGGAGCTGATACCCAGCAACCCTGAGATGGAGGCGTGAGTGTGTGCTAAGCTGCTGCTTCAGTCATGTCCCTTTGTGATGCTATAGACTGTTGCTGTGTCCATGGATTCTCCAGGCAAGAATACTGGAGTGGGTTGCTATGCCCTCCTCCAGGGGGTCTTCCTGACCCAGGGATCAAACCTGCATCTTCTATGTCTCCTGCATTGGCAGGCAGCTTCTTTACCACTAGCGCCACTTGGGAAACAGCTAGTCCTGAATCGCACAAGAGTCTTGGAGGCTCTCACTGTTGCTCCTTATGCCTGGGGCTGCCTCTCCCTGACAAAATTCATCCTTCATCACCAGCCTGAGAGTTACTCTTGGCCGTGGCCACAGATTCATGTCTTCGCATGTCATCCGGCAGCACTCTCCCAAGGACACGGCTTACACGACTCGAGCTCCTGGCTGCTCTGGGCAGACACTGCTCACCCCTCCCTGCCCACTCAGGCCCTGATCCTCGGACTGAGTCTGCTTTGGCCAGTGACTGTGGGGGTAGAAGGGAGTCAGATAACTACCTCTGGCAGATTCCATCATGTTAGCATCTGATCACACCCCACATGGTCCTGACATTGTGCCCTTCACCAGGGCACCAGCTGAGAGGCATCAGTCCCCTGCAGGGATGCAGCCTTGTTCGAACACTCCCCTAGGGCCTGGCTCCGCATCTCTTCATGGCTAGCCCTCTTCCTTGAGAGGTTGGACCCTGTTCCCTGTACCACCAGGTGCTGGGGTCCCGTGCCACTGGTTTTGTCCACCTTCCTTCCTGCATCCTGGGGGCTGGGACCTCCCACTGATAAACCACTCCACCTGAAAATATGTGCTCAGTTGCTTAGTCATGTCTGACTCTTTTGCAACTCCATGGACTGTAGCCCACCAGGCTTCCCTGTCCAGAGGATTTCTTTAGGCAAGAATACTGGAGTGGGTTGCCATTTCCTCCTCCAGGGTATCTTCCCTACCTGGGGATTGAACCCACTTCTCCTGAGTCTCCTGCACTGGTAGGCAGATTCTTTACCACTGAGCCACCCAGAAGAGCATCCTTAGTCCATGATGCCTAGGTGTGCCTGGCCTTGGGGACACTGCCTCTTTGTGGGCCTGCCCCAGAGCTCTGTCTGTTTCTCTAGCTCTAACCTGTGTGCCGCCAGCCTCCTCTCTGTCTTCACCAGCCACTGTCTGAGGCCCTGGCATGTCACACAACTGAGCCTGCTTGAGTCCGGCCATGGTGTGGATGGGTGGTTCAACACCGTTTTGTGTTCCTTTGCCAACAAAGGAAACTGACTTCAGTAACCAGGAATTCCTTAACTTACTTCCCTGCCGACCAAGAATAACCCCAGGAGGACAAAGTGCCTGCCTTCTCCATAGCTCATGAGCCGCCTGCAAGCAGTCTGCACAAGGGAGCTTTGGACTATTTTGCTTTACAGACTGTCCAAGGTGACCAGTATCTGGCTAACAAAGCCAGCAGGAACCAGATACCAATGGCACTCTTCCTCTGGTCAGCTGGGTGGCCATCTGTCGATGGGGAAATTCCTGGAGCTGGAGCGCTGAGCCAAGTGTGGGAGGACCCAGGAGAGGTGTCTCTTACCCTCAGGTCAGGGGTCCTGCTGCCAGCAGCTGGGAGGCAAGCTGCCCTTGGCAAAGGCCAGGGACACACTGGCCCAGCCTGTGGTGCGGCCAGCAGGAAAGGTCTCCTTGTCCACTCCTGGCCCGCAGCCTATCTTGCTCAGCAGCTTGAAAAGACAAACTGGTGCTGAAGACAAGCCAAGCTGAACACCAGGCCGTGCAGTGAGCTCACATCCCGCCCCCCACCCCCCACTTCCCTAGTAGTGGAAAGCGCTCAAAGCCCAATCAGTCATATACTTCCTACTGATAGCAAATCTGTGGAAGATGGAATGTCTTCTGGTGGGCCTGTTTTTCTGAAAGGCTACCCCAAACCCCACAGGGACCCAGGTGTCCTCCAGCATCTCCAGGGCCTGAGTGCTCAGCAAGAAGAGGTGCAAATGCATGAGAGTTGGCAACTGCAGCCATTCCAGCTGCCGCCCAGATCTGTCCTGCCTGTTGGCCTTCAGTGTCTGTGGGAGACCAGCAGCCCCCAGTTGGATGTTGGTGGGAGGTTGTGCTGAAAATAATGCTGGGGGTGGGGGAAACCAGTACAAATGACTGGGGTCAGAGGGTCCCAATAGCAGGTGTGGACTCACTGTGACTGGGGCCGGGCATAGGGCTGTTTGGGTTTTGTTTTTATTTACCAGGGCCCTAATCTAGTCTTGGGCTCATGCTCGGTCACACAGTCGTGTCCAACTCTTTGGGACCGCATGGACTGTAGTCCATCAGATTCCTCTGTCCAAGGGATTTTTCCAGGCAGGAATACTAGAGTGGGTTGCCATTTCTTTCTCCAGGGGATTTTCCTGACCAAGGGACTGAACCTGAGTCTCCAGTATTGGCAGGTGGATTCTTTACCACTGAGCCATCTGGGAAGCCCAATCTAGACTCAGGGGCCCTAAACTGTAGAACAGCTCCTTAAAAAAAATTTTTTTTTTTAGAGACTGCCTTGCTTGTCTGCTCAAGCCCACAGAGACTTATCCTTGTTCTGCTCCGAAAGTCATTCACATGCTTTCATTCAGTAAACCAAGCACCAGGTTCTAAGCTTGGCACAGGGGAGGCAGTGGTGAACCAGCTGTGGTTCCCTACTTCAGGCGAGTTTTAGTCTGAGGATGGAAGCAAGTAGTACATACAATCTAAGGCTGTCTTTTGACACCGGTGCAAAATGGGATGCTCATTTCTAGCTGTTTTTGAAAACCCATATCTGAGGAGCTCTAGATGTAAGAAGAACTTTAGGGAGAAAGAATCTGAACAGGAAGAAACCAGGGGGATGTGAGATCAGTGGGCAAGAAGGCTGAGCTGAGTAGCACTGATGGAAGGCTGGTTTATGAGACAGCCCACAGTTGCCCTTTGGCCCAGCCTGTGCTTCTGGAGTGGGGGCTTGATTTTTCATCTAACCAAGTAGGGCATGGCCTGGATACGACTACACATGGCTCCATTGATTTGTTCCTCCCTGGCCCCTGCACTGTGACTTCCAGTGGCCTCCTCTGGCTTAGATGCTTTTCCACTGAGCACCTGACCTATGATAAAGATGTGTGACCTAGTTCACTTTGTGGGTTCCTCCCCTACCTGGATGAGCTTCCCTTATGGGGCACTGGGCAGCTTGAAGCAAGCTAAAATGTAAATGGAGCCCTAAAATGTAGTCCAAGGTCCTTATTTTACTGGAGGAAAAGCTGAGATCCAGAGCAATGTCACACATCTGATCACTGGCATAGCCAGAGCATGACCCTGCTCAGTGCTTTGCTGACGGTACTCACCCATTCATTCAACAAATGTTCAGGGAGTGTGAGGCATCACACTCAGCACCAATGATCCAAGGACAGAGGAGGAACAGTTTCCACTCCTGGAGAGCTCCCAGCCTAGGACAGCTGATAAACCACAGGCAAACAGCCATTAAACACAATGTAAAAATGTAAGTGCCACCAGTCACAGGTGAAGGGGAGAGTGCTGGGGGAGACCAGGGAGAGGCTTCAGTCATTCTGGGAAGTCTTCCTAGAAGAACTGGCATTTGAGGTGGGCCTTGGGGATTGAATGGGATTGAGGGGGGAAAAGATAGAAGCTGCCTTTTTTGGTGTATCTCTCTAATTAGACTTTATGGAGGAGGAAATGGCAACCCACTCCAGTATTCTTGCCTGGGAAATCCCATGGACAGAGGAGCCTGTGGGCTACAGTTTACACAGTTGGACACAACTTAGTGATTAAACAACAACTAGACTTTATGGAAGGCATCAGCATGATCATGTATTGGGCACCTGATTTGATCCAAGCAATGTGCTAGGTACTTGTCACAATGTGTTCTTTAATTTTTCCAGTATTTTTACTCATTTTATAGGCGAGGAGACAGACTCATTAGTTACTTAGTTCTGAATAAAGCCTTCTCCTTTGATTCCTTCTCTCTTTTCCACAAGGCCTCACGCAGTGCCTTGTGGCCCACCAGGGCTGGTGATTAGTTAGTGAATCTGATGATTGAGTGAAAATGGAGACAGAGATGGGGGGGGGAGGTTAGAGCATTTGCAAAGCCATAGGGAAGGCAGCATCCTGCTTTCTTAGACAACAAGGAGCTAAGAGCCATTTAGGAGCTTGGTCATCAGAGTAAATGTCTTCCCCTTTCATATATACACCCTGTCTCCAGGCGGGTAGGTTCTTAGCCTAGGCAAATGCTATGTAATCAGAACTACCATTTGTTTCTAAGCATCTTTGATGTGTTACTTTGTTTAATTGAAAGAACAACCAAATGAGGTAGGTATTGTGGGTTTTTTTTTTAATTTTTAATTGAAGGATAATTGCTTTACAATATTGTGTGGGTTTCTGCCATACAACAACTGTGAATCAGCCACAAGCATACATATGTCCCTTCCCTCTTGAACCTCCCTCCCACCTGCCACCCCATCACACCCCTCTAGGTTGTCCCAGAGCACCAGGTCGAGCTCTCTCTGTTATACAACTGCCCACTAGCTGTCTGTTTCACATATGGTAGGAGAAGGCAATGGCACCCCACTCCAGTGTTCTTGCCTGGAGAATCCCAGGGACGGAGGAGCCTGGTAGGCTGCAGTCCATGGGGTCGCTAAGAGTCAGACACGACTGAGAGACTTCACTTTTACTTTTGACTTTCATGCATTGGAGAAGGAAATGGCAGCCCACTCCAGTGTTCTTGCCTGGAGAATCCCAGGGACGGGGGAGCCTGGTGGGCTGCCGTCTATGGGGTTGCACAGAGTCGGACACGACTGAAGCGACTCAGCAGCAGCAGCAGCAGCAGTGTATATGTTTCAGTGCTGTTCTCTCAATTCGTCCCACTCTCTTCTACCCTCGCTGTGTCCGCGTCTGTCCTCTATGTCTGTGTCTCTATTCCTGCCCTGCAAATAGGCTCATCAGCACCATTTTTCTAGAGTCCATATATGCGTGTTGTGCCATGTGCTCTTTGTGACCCCATGGACTGTATAGCCTTTCAGGCTCCTCTGTTCATGGAATTTTCCAGGCAAGAGTATTGGATTGGGTTGCCATTTCCTACTCCAGGGGATCTTCCTGACCCAGGAATCAAACCTGTGTCTCCACATTGCAGGCACATTCTTTACCCACTGAGCCATTGGAGCTTTATGATATTTTTCTCTCTCTGCCTTGCTTCACTCTGTATGATAGGCTCTAGGTTCATCCACCTCACTAGAACTGACTTAAATTTGTTCCTTTTTATGGCTGAGTAATATCCCATTGTATATATGTACCACAACTTCTTTATCCTTTCATCTATTGATGGGCATCTAGGTTGCTTCCATGTCTATTGTAAATAGTGCTGCAATGAACAGTGGGGTGGATTGTCTTTTTCAAATATGATTTTCTCAGGGTATGTGCCCAGTAGTGGGATTGCTGGGTCACATGGTAGTTTTATTCCTAGTTTTTTTAAGGATTCTCCACACTGCTCTCTCTAGTGGCTATATCAATTTACATTCCCACCAACAGTGCAAGAGGCTTCCCTTTTCTCCACACCCTCTCCAGCATTTATTGTTTGTAGATTGTTTGATGACAACCATTCTGACTGATGTGAAGTGATACCTCTTTGTAGTTTTGATTTGCATTTCTCTAATAAGGAGAGATGTTAAGCGTCTTTTCATGTGTTTATTGGCCATCTGTATGTCTTCTTTGAAGAAATGTCTGTTTAGGTCTTCTGCTCATTTCACAGATGAGAGCACCAAGGCTTGGAAAAGCTACAGATTACACAGCTAAGAAAGGCAGAGCCAACATCTGAACCCAAGTTGGATCTGGCTGTAGAACCTGAGCACTTAACCTTGTCACTGTATTCAGGGATCCTAAACTCAGTTACCCATCAAAGCTGGATAGATAACATGAATGGTGAAGGTGAGGCAAAGAGGACTGGTGGGGACTGTGGTGAACAAGAGAATGAGCCCAGGTTCAGCTCAGAGAAGCAGCCAATGCTGGGTGCAGCCTATTCCTATCCTGCAAGACCTGCTGACTTTTTTTCCAAGTTGGAAATAATACTTTCATGTTTGGTGGGCTGAACAAGCCACATGGGCAGGTCAGATATGATTGTATCTGGCTATCTACAGCCTGATCATGTTGACTACCAGTCTGAGAAATAGAAGCTTCTCTAGAGGTTCTCTTTAACTCAGACATCCTTAGTGAGAACCTCATCTCACACTCGCTCCCTCTTGCATTTGCTGGTTCCCATGCCTCAGAAAGCAGCCAGTCCAGGTAGGCTGACCTAGACACATCTTTGTGCAGTTTCCCTTCATTGCAGGCACAGTTTAAGAAATTCACGATGCACAGGCCACACGGGTGAGTTTCATTGATTCAGGAAGGCCCCTTCTGGGCTGATGGACCCTTTCAGAAAAGCATATGGCCATGCAATCAAATTGTAGAATTTGTTCCTAGGTGGTGGGCTTGAATGCCATTCTTGGTGACATCCTTGCATCTTGAGACCTCGGATGCAACTTGCATTAGGTACCCTGGGACAGGCCAGTAGTGGGGGACAGGAATGACCAGCACCCGGAAAGCTGACTAGGTCTCAGAGGAGCCAGATAGTGTGACAGTCGTTTGGAGCATGTGTCAGTCTGATCAGGCTCATCTTAGCAGGACTCTCTCAGGGGCCGGAAATGGGAGAGGAAACAGGGAGGGAGGCAGGAGCACAGCCCCGCCCATGGGCCATCCCAGGGCGTGGGGGGCTGTGGTTTGGATTTGCCACAGCTCACCAGCATTTACCAGCTTGCCTGATTCTCTCCCACCACATTACTTCCATTTCTTGCATACCCTGCAACCTGCAACCCTGAGGGAGTGTCTTGGAGTGTGTTTGTGGTCTGCGGGTGGATGCTGTTCTGGTTGCCATCTGGGAATGAATAACCACAGCATTTCAAAGCTGAATAAGACCCAGAGGGGAAAGAGCCTAGGCTTCCTGTTTGTCTCACTGGGGGAAAGAAGTGTGGAGCTTTACAAACCCAAATGTTTAAACCCTTCCTCACCCAGTGAATTTGATGGGTGACAAAAATGAATTAGAAATTAGATCAAGGCTCAGCACTACCATGGGTTCTGAGCCAAATAGAAATTAACAAAAGCATCTTCAGCAGGGTTAATGGTGAAGGCAGGCTTCCTGCCTTGGCAGAATGTCCTGACTCCAGTCTCAGAGGGGGTTGATCGAAGGATCCTGTGGATGAGATCAGGAGGTTCAGAGAGAGTTCTCTACCCAGACAGTGGGGAGGAATTGACCTGTCATTAATTGATGCTCACAGATGGGACAGAAAATTCCAGCGATGCAGGGTGTATTTAATGCCAGACTGGCTGCCGGTGGTGCCATGCCTCTACATCTGCCCCACAGAGCTCAGATGCTGAAGAAAGGAACATTTTCCCCACTTTGAAAGAGGTTCCTGGTGAAGTCCCATAGACTGAGTGTGTCGGCAAGCTTGTCTGTGTTGTCAAATTTCATTTGGCTTAAAACGTGAGAACTAGTGCAGAGAATCAAAGAAAACAAGATTGTTCGCTGAGTGCTCCTGACCGGAGCTGCTCAAGCATGAGGCTGGGGCATTGCCTGAAGCAATTGTATTTTCTCTGAAAAAAAACATTCAAGGTGGTTGTTTAATCTCTGTGGAGTGAGTCCCCATG